GGGGGGGGGGGGGGAGGCAGAGGTGAAGGGGGGCGTGGAGGAAAAGTGTCCCACATACGCAAAAGGGAGGTACGTAGAGAGTGGGCACAGTGCTTTACCTGAGACAACCTGGAGCTATAAGCAACATACACAAGTGCGTTGTTCACACTATCGTAGATTCTGCAACAAATCAACAAGGCAAAGCAAACAGCAGCAACAGCGAAAAACTTAGGAGTCCGTCCACAAGAGACAGGCGACCCAACAGCATCCATAGAGAAACAAGGATCAACTCGTCCCCCCCCCAAAAAAAAAAAAAAAAGCATCAACTCGACAGAGCGGCAGATGAGAAAGTCTGACATTCCTGAGCAGATGCTTCTGAGGAAATAAGCTCCCGTCAGCTAGCTCAGTAGGTGCTCATGCCTGCGCGGCACCGCATAGGTGCTGCTGTGTTCTATTCCCGTTGCCGTCACTCTCAGTGGCCTGAGCAAGATTGGTGGCCACAGCCAGTCAACACTGCTAACTCGCTGGGGCAAGTTATGCCGTCCTGTAACCCATAGCAATGCGGGAGCTTTGGTCCAAGCGGAAGTGACTGACCACTCAGGTCCTGCTGCGGCCGGTCGGGACACATCCAGTAAAAAGAGCTCTCAGGATGAGTTCTCAATCAGTATCATCATTCCCAGTCAGTATCATCATAGCTGACATTCATGGATCGATTACGATGCCTATCAGGGTTGAGAGTCTTGAGAACCTCAAGATACTTCCAGAGGCTTAAAAACTCTCTACATACCTGTCACAACATAAGCTCAATAAGGAAGTTCCATAAGTCATGATCATGACATATAATCTACAGTAACTTCCACAATAAGCTCAAGTTACCTGGGGCCGGTCACCTGTGGATATATGTCAAGACTGACACCCTGTTGGTTTTTCACCCTAAAGAGACAGGACCTTGGCATTTCAAAGAGGGAGCCCGGGCGGGAAGCAAGGGGTGCAGGTGGAGGGTGAGGGAGGGTAGCCAGTGTGCAGACAAGGAAGGAAAGCATCACAGCAAGGTCCCGCTGAAGCCAAAAGAGGCCTACGAAGTAGTAGTAGGATCGTCAGAAGGCTTCAACTGGACCCTAAATGTGGACCAGGCGAGGAGGGACCAAGGATTCAGAGGTTCTGGTTCTTAGTGGAACACACTTGTGATTGCATGAAGGAATCTATTACGGCTCGGGGGCATGAGTTTCTTTTTTTTGTTTTTTTGACTACACTATTTTCCTCTCTCAAATTCTTCCATTCTTCCACGACCTGCCTACCACTACTCCTAAGGCTATACACGGGCCCCCTGCAAGCATAGCTATCTACCTTTCTTCATGAAGGGTGGTTACCTCTCTTGGTGGAGGGAGGGCTTGATGGGGGAGGAGGGTTGGGGTCGGGGTTGGTGTTGGCGGAGCGGATGTGAAGGGGAGGGGGCCCGTTTGAGCCAGGGGTGGTGGTCCCTGTGGCAGTGTGGGGGGCCGGATGGGCGGTGCTGGGGTCAGTGGCGGTAGTCCGGTGGAGACTGAGGTAGAGGGGGTGGCAGGGCGGAAGGAGGATGGGAGTGGGGGTGACGGGGACGGGGACGGGGTGAGAGGTGAGGGAAGGAGGAGAGAGTGGAAGGGGAGGCAGCTGCGATGCCGGAGGGGAGGGATGGTCTGCGGGGATGGTCTTGGGAACAGCCAGATCTGTCCTCCTCCAGCGCTCCTGTGCTTTGACCTGGTAAAGGTGTGAAGAAGTGCTGCAGTGATCTGAGCCGCCAATGTGATTCTTGGGCTGCCCAGTTCTTCCAGACGAGGCCCTCATTTTCTTTTAGATCTGCCATTTTGCGGTTCGGGTCGAGCCAGTGTTCCTTAAAAGATGCTATGGTCTGTTGTCTCTGTTTCTGGTCTGGAATTGTAGCGAGGTCCGTTTTGAGTTTTGTGCTGGCCTTTTCTACGTTTGCTCTGACGACTTCCAGTATCCCTGGCTTGGATCAGGCCAAAGGTGTATTCTTTACGTTCTGAAGAGCACCTCATCCTCCATATGGCCATAAGGATGGGCAGTCTTGTGTGCTTGAAGAGATTGTGCTGGAAGGTTGACCACGACCGCAGGGCTTTTTGGTACTAGCCCAACAGGATGAGCTCTACATCCCAGTGGAAGCGAGTGTCCATGAGCTTATTCAGAACATCCGACCAGTGCCACACCTGGATGGCCATTGGGCATGCTAGCAGGCAGTGCTCGAGGTCGGCTCTCCTGCACGGAGGGTTCCGTTTTGAGAAAAACAGTTAAAAAAACAGGGTTACCTCCATTGGGTAGGATTTGACCTCTCACTCAACAATTATGGGTACATGGGCCATTCAACAACCGGCCAGGTACACACGGATTCAGAGTGTAAACCATTATGCTCACAAAGGACTTGAAATTGGGTGGAACTTAACCTGGGGGTCCAACGGGTATAGTTTTGGAAATGGCGAGAGGGTCGATTGGAGAAGGTGAGACCGAAAGGGGGAGCCAGGGAATAAACGACCAAAACCGGACGTTAAGTTGATGAAGGAACGGGGTAAAGAGTCGGAACAAATTATAGAAACGAAGCTACCACACCTGAGACTTCAGTGTCATTGAATCGATGGACGACATCTCTAAAGAAAAGGGGGGGTACAGCCACCACCAATCAGGCACCAGCAACAACTGATTGAGTTATCGAAGTATTCACGCAGCCGGGCAAGGCTGAGGGCATACTCACACTACCAAGGACCTTCCTGGATGTGAATGGCCGGAATTACGGCCTGACCTAGATGTATCCGACAGCAATGGTGTCCAGAGCTCCGTCGAAGAGGTCCTAGTGCGAGGAGCATTGTGGAAGTTGGATGCTAGGGAAAACAGGATTGGTACCTGTTTGGAGACGGGTAGAGTGGTAGCGAAAATGGAAAAGGGTTTAAATGTTTTTGGGAAAAACAGTAGGGGACGGCCATACGCCTGGGTAGAGTGTGAGGCACGCCCATCTTTTTGGGTTGTCTTAGAAAAGTTGAAGAAAACATAGCCTTATGCCAATGGTTAATGAGTCATAATGACCCCTTCCATTCTAGCAAGTGACAGTAGCTGACAGCGAGACAAATCATATATGGAGATTCGAGACCCTTCTATTCTAGCAAGTGACGGTGTCTCCCAGCGGGACAAATCATAAATCACAACATGAAGCAGTCAACCCACATACACTTCTCCCCATTATGGTTTGGAGACCCACACAGAATTTTACCTACCCACTGCTGCTGCTCCATTTGTTTCTTTAAAATATCGATTCGTTTTTTTTTTCTCTCCCTTGGACCACTTCTCGATTTGATAGTGGCTGCTGCAGGGCCTTTATTCTTCCAATGGCGAAATGTCGTCTTTGGACCATTTCTCAATTTGTATGTTTCACCCTCGTCCAACAGGGGCCAAGGTAATGTACTGGTCTTGGATTTTCTCATTATTCAAGTTTGTTGTTCCAATTTCAAGCGCTGTGAAATCTCTAGGATCAACCGCTGCTGCTTTGAGACTGCAGGGGCCCGAGAAGTTTCTCTCTTCCAGGCTGTGCTCGTGTTTCCAACGTAGCTTCTGGATATCTCTAGAGCAGAGATGCATGTTCAGCCAGAAAAGAGGCGGAAAAAAGGAGTTCAGATGAAAGAAGGGGAGGAAGGGTGGGGAGAGGGGTTAGGGGGGGAGGGATAACAGGAGCGAATCACTTAAAACCACCAGTACTTCGAGCCAGTTTTTCCCGGAGCCGAAAACGGTCTGCGCGCCAAAAAAATGAACCGGCACGGGCGTCCTTTCGGCTGGCGCCGCCAGCCGTTTTGCTCTGTAAGCCGACCCCTGAAAGTTGTGGCATGCATTCAGCCACATCGGAGGAAAATGGCTGGGAACCATACCGATGGCTAAAAGGGCGTATCCTCCGAGCAGAGTCATGAATGAAGGAAACTAATAACAGTGTGCCAGTGTGGCGAAATGAGTCTAGATACAGCCAATGCGAAGGAAAGACGAGATATTTTAGGGTGTGGAATTGAGGAATGATGGGGGTCTCGCAACTTTTGAGAGCAGGCCTCAGGCACTGGCCTTGCAGCCTTGGGTGTCTTGATGTGAGCGTTACAGCCTGTTACCTACCTCACCCCCATTATTCTCTCCATATCTGTGGTACGCGAGCGGAAGTGAACCGTCTCACGAGCGAGAGAGAGCGTAGGGCTAAGGGCCTACTCACACAATCGTCTTCACCGGAATAGAATTTCCCAGTCGTTATCGCTGTGTCTACACAGAAAGCTGCCCCATATACAGTTATAAGGACCGGGTGTTATATTCGGGTGAAGGGGGTAGCGCTATGATAAATGTATCTGATCACGATTACAACCAGACCTGAATGCATCCGGACAACCGTCTCACGAGCGAGAGAGAGCGTAGGGCTAAGGGCCTACTCACACAATCGTCTTCACACTAATAGGATTGATCAGTCGTTATCGCTGTATCTACACAGAAAGCTGCCTCATATACAGTTATAAGGACTGGGCGCTTTATTTGGGTGAAGGGGTTAGCGCTATGGTAAATGTATCTGATCATGTTTACAACCAGACCTGAATGCATCCGGCCGCAATTCCGTCCACAAATAGGTAAAAAAGTCCTGTTTTCCCCCAAACAAAAGAGAGAAAAATAAGAAACAGGCAAACCTTTCGATGACAGCCAAGTGTTAGGCACTTCTTTTTCATATTAGAGAGGATGCCCCGCTTCTACTGTTGTTTCTACAAAATTGAGCAAATTGAACAAGTCGCCTGCACAATGCACGCTGCACAGTCCTTCTACCAAGTCCACTAAAGTGTGGTGGTTTTTATCGGCCCCCGACTTATACATATCAAAACCTCTAGAGTCTAACCCCCCTCCCCCCAAAAAAAACAAACAGCTAAAAAAGATCTGAACCACAAAATTGAAAGTTTGCTACATCGATACTCCTCGTCCACCTTCGTCCAGGACGACAGAAACAAAAATTTGTAAACTGCAACTGAACGGAAATTATATTACAATTTATAAAATTTTAAAAGTGGAACTAAACTACTTCCTGGCAAGATAAGTGAACTCAAAAGGTTGAAGTGCGATCGTCTCTTGTTCTTCATCATTTTCCCAAACATACATTTCCATCATCGAACCAAAAAGCTACACATTCCATTTTTATTTTTTTATTTTTCTCTTGTCTGATGACACCGTGTCCATATTCAAGTCTGCAAATTGCCTTTCTGGTCACTGATCTTGAGTACATTTAGTGTCATTTACTCAAGAAACTGAGTACATACTACATTTCTAGTCACTGATCTTGAGTACATTTACTGCCTTTCTTGTCACTCAAAAAGAGAGAGAGAGAGAGAGAGAGAGAGAGAGAGAGAGAGAGAGAGAGAGAGAGAGAGAGAGAGAGAGAGAGTAGCAAATATCATTCACACTTTTTTCTTTTCACAAGTTCACACGCTGAGTATCAATCACACTCTCAGAAGGAATTTGATCTTCATTAGCAAAATCAAGGATAAATTATCAAATTGGATAATAATACCTTCTTACATGCATTGTCTTCACAGCCACCAGTCGATCAACAAAGAAGAAAGACAATGATTGTCCAAGAGAGACAGACAGAAAAAAATTGAAGCAGACATTCAAAAGACATGCAAAAGAGACATACGCAACAAACAGTTAGCAACTTCGCACAGTTCACCTAACCATTTTGCAGGACTGCATTATTTCGTTTTCTCCGCTTTTTCCTTTTCCGCTTTTCATTTCTCTTTTGCTACCTTGGAAAAGATGTGCCCACATTTGCAAAAGAGGGCATGAGGGAGGAAACAACGGTACGGTAGGAATAACCCAACAACCAGGTTCTCTCTCTCTCTCTCTCTCTCTCTCTCTCTCTCTCTCTCTCCCTCTCTCTCTCTCTCTCTCTCTCTCTCTCCC